TTCTTCTCATCTCCGATTTTTAATGGGAAAGGAAGAACTTCCCTCTTATAGCATCTTGCTCCCAACTAGTGAGGGGACGGAGGAGATGGCCCAGGGGACTTAGCCGCATGGCTCTCCATGCTGAAAGTGTCCCCCAGGGGCTCGCTGACCTTTCTCACCTCTGCGTCTGCTCTAACGAAGCTGTTGAGAAGGGGAGGGCAAGCGTGGGGTGGTGGGGAGGGAATGGTGGCCTCATGCTCCCAGCTTCAGGGGAAGGGGCAAAAAGACTCCTTCCTGGCCAGGGGACCCCAAAAAGTGTTTTTATTCTCTTGCAGCCCTTGGCTCGAAGTGATGAGGGTGAATCCTAAAGTCTTAGGACAAATCTAAGGTAGATATGGCAGAGACAGAAATACGAGGTGGTGTCTCAGGTCACAGGGGAGTTTGGAGAATAGGTCCACAGACCTCCTCATGCTGTCCTATCCCTGGGTCCATACGGAGCCCAAAGCAGGCACGGGGATGTCGTGGAATGAAAGACCACAGTCCACTCATTCAAGGATCCACTCATTTATTCCACAGACATTCACGGGGTGCTTTCTATGTGCCAGGAATGCTGCTGCGAGCTGGGGATGCAAAGCCAAAATGGATGCAGTCTCTAAGGAGCCTGCGTTCTGGAAAAGGGCAGACCTCAGTTCCCCGGCCGCAGGCCTGCACCGCCCGAGATCGCTGTTAAAGCTCAGAGACCCACAGGGCTCTTCACTGCTGACCCCACCAGGAAGGCGCATCAATAAGGAGACCCCAAGGAGGCCTTGAGAGGAGGAGGTGGCAGCAGGCATCACTCAGGCTTCCCCACTGAGTGGGCTGCCCGCTGACCCTGAACCCTGAGCTCAGCCAGAACCCACTTCTCATCCTCAGGAAGCTTTGAGGCAGATGTCCTTGGTGGGACTTGCCCAGGTTGACAGTGTAGAGCCATTCCTTCCTCTCTCCCCCTTTTCACCATCACCCAACCTATTCAGACAACACCGGGTCACAGGAAGGGAGGGGACATGGGGTACCATAGCGCTCCTGCTCTGAGGGGCGGGCAGAATCTCACAGAAGTCAGACGGAAAGAGCGGGAGCCAGAGCCACTTCAATTTGAATCCCAGCTTTGCCCCTGGGAGGAAGTGTGTTCATCTCTCTGGGTTTCAGCTCCCTCAGCTGCAAAGAGGAAGGATGATAAGAGGATCCCCTCACAGGGCTGTGGTGACTATGAAATGTGACAACGTCTGCACAGCCCTTAGCATAGTGCCTGGCACACTGTAGCCTGCAATGAATGGTGGCTTACTATTACAATAGTGTTAAGAGTGTTCTCACCATACTCTGATTCCTTGAAAACTGGAGTGAATTTAGGGTCCGAAGACCTGGGTTAGAGTCTGGGTCCTGCCACTTCGTCACTGTTTTGTCCCTCAGTGTCTCTGAGCCTCTCTCTCCTCACTGAGGGGCAGCATATCTGCTCTGCTGTGTTCCGAGGATCGAATGAGACCACGACGGGGAAGTTCTGTAAATCGAGTGCGGCGTAAACGTAGGTGGGTCTGGGCCAGGTGCATCCCCGGCTTCCATCCCACCACCTGGTACCCAGAGCTTCTTCCTCTCCTCTGTGACCTTCTGGCCCCGCTCGGGAATGGAGTATTTCCACCTGGTTCTACATCTGACTTCTTCCCAGTCTCTAATAAAACGGTGAGTCCCTTGAGGACCAGCCCCGTGTTTATTTAGCACTAAGAGCAGCCATTCATCGCATTCAGGACCTGCCAAGCACTCTGGAGGCATCGTCTCATGTTCTCTTCCCAACATCCAGGCAAGGAAGGGACTGCTGGCATCCCCATTGTCTAGATGAGGACACTGAAGAGTCTAGAGGACTTCAGTAATTTTCCAAAGATCTAATAGTCAGTGTGTGACTTTTTCACCAGGACCCTCAGCAGATATTTGAACCCGGATCAGTCTGACCCCAAGCCAAGCTCTTAGCTCCATGCAGAGTTGGGCCCAGGTGGATATCAGTACATGCATTTTGCTTAGTTACTTCTGATGTGTATTTTATTAGGACCTCACACCTGTAAGCGGAATGTCATACAAGAATTCATTAAGCATAACGGAACAGCCCACTCTAACATTATGTGGCAACAGAGTTCACATTGGTGACTAACACAGGCAGAGTCTTGGTCCTACATCCATCAGCAGGTTTCTATGCACCTATGATGGTCAGGCCCTGTGGGAGGAGCTGCGATTATAACTGACTGAGCAGACAAGGCTCTGTCCTCAGGGCCATGAGTTCTGATGAGGAAGATGGGCAGCAGATACAGAACGGCTCACAATGAATGGAGCTATCGGGGAGGTAAATCAGAATAAGGAAGGGCTGAGAGCATGACGGGAGCGGGTATACCTCAAGCAGAGTGGTCAGGGGACAGCGTCTCTAGGTAAGTGACGTTTGAGCTGGGACCTGAATAAGTGAGGAAGTGAGCCACGTGGATCCTGGGGAGGGGGACAGTGCAAAGGGCCTTGCTGGCAGAGGTAAATGCGCACATCCTAACAAGAGAGCATGCTGGTGAGTGTGAGGAACAGCAAGCAGGCCAAGGTGGCTGATGTGGGGTGAGCAAGGGGCGGAAAGTCTGGCTCGGTAGATGAAGAAGCAGCTGAAGGTCCATGGTGGACTTTGAGTGAAACCAGAAGCCACTGGTTTCTAGTAGTCTAAAAGAGAAACATAATCGCTCTTTGTCTTTCCTGATATAGACCAGTGGCTCTGGACCGGGGGTAATTTTGCCCCACCCTGGGGGCATTGTCTAGAGACAATGTCTAGAGACAATTTTGGTCATCACAAGGAGAGGGAGAGGTGTTGCTGGCATCTAGTGGGTAGGGGCCAGGGATAGTGCCGAACATCTTAATATGCACAGGAGAGCCCCCTCCACTCCCAACAAGGACATATCTGGCCTAAAATGTCAATAGTACCGAGGCTGAAACACCCAGGTGTAGACCTGAGGAGGGCAATGTGCTCTTAGAAAGATGGTGGGGGCTCACGAATGCAGCATCCAAGTCCCTTGGGCCCCAATCCCCCAGCAGGAAATACCCTTTACATTATTATTCTTATTTCCTCCTCTGCTCCAAGAACCACTTCATGGGGACACATTCCAGGCCACTTCCTGCTGCTCGGCGCCTGCTGTGTGTCTAACCTGAGGATGATGAATTTTCTGTGCCCGCGGCCATCCGTGTGCGTACGCAGCCCTGACGTCTTATGTGCGTCTTGCATCTTGAAGTGTAATTTATTAGGCTTAATCCCTGTCTGGGGAAACGATAAGTCTTCCCTGTGGGAATTGTGGGGCGGGCCCCATTATTATTTCATTAGGACACCACTGGTTTTTCAGGAGTCCCTGAGTAGACATCACATGCTCCTTGGATGATTTAGACAAGGCATCATCCCGCCCCCTCCCTCCCACAAGCCGGGGGCCTTGTTTCTTCCAGAACTCAGGAAAAGTATTCACCGATTTCCATATGTGCCTCTGAGGTTTGCTTCTTAGTGCTAAATTCCCTTTTCCTGCTTAATGCCAGTTTTGTCCTTCCACATCAGGAGAATATACAAACATTTTTAAAAACCGCAATCAGGCGTTTTACTCCTGTCTCAGCAACGCGTGTAGTAGATTGAAAAACTGATGTCAGCAGCAGCTTCCAGTTTTCTTCTGAAATCAGCATTGATGGAGGCTGCTGAGGCAAGTGAGCATTTCATAAATTCTCTCCTCCTCCAGCTTGGCCTGTCCAAACACGCAGAGTGAGAGGAAAGGCATGGGGTTATCAAGAGACTTCCAGCCTCTGCTCCCTCAAGACGAGTCAGCACTCTCTCAGTCATCTGGCTTTGCCCTTTACCCTCTACCCACTTTTCCACATGCAGAGGCAGCTCTAACATCCTCTAGGTAGTGGGTTTTAAGGTCACTGGATTCTAATTCCCCAACTCGCTGAGATAAATTATACTTCACATGTTCATTTCAGCTCAGAGATACCTTAAGTCTGGGTCCTTTTCTTTCTCATCCTATTGCATGAAATTGCCCCTTGATTTGATTTGCAAACAATTCGCGGACTCCTCTTTTCCTAATACCACAAAGGGTTCGCACCTTGTCCAAGGTCACCCATCGGCACCCATCTTGCCAGCCTCACTTATCACTGTGGGAAGCAGCTGGACCAGGAATGGGCTACAGGAGGGCTGCGGAGTCTGAACCTTGAATTCAATCCTAACACGAAGACTTAGTCATTGAGATCCCGTGGGTATGTCACTTTCCCCTCTCTGAGCCTCGGTCTCCTGATCCGGCAAACCGGAACCACTTTTAGTCACGTCCTGCTTAACGACGAGGATACGTCCTTAGAATGCATCGTTAGGTGATCTCGTCATTGTGCAAACATCATAGAGTGCACTTATACACACCTAGATGGCATAGCCCACTACCCACCTAGGCTACAAGGTATAACTCATTGCTCCTAGGCTACCAAACCTGTATGTTACTGTGTTGCGTACTGCAGGTAATTGTAACACGATTATAAGTATTTGTTACTGTGTTGCATACTGCAGGTAATTGTAACACGATTATAAGTATTTGTGTATCTAAACATAGAAAAAGTATAGTAAAACACAGTATAAAAAGATTTTAAAATGGTACACCTGCATAGGGCACTTGCTATGAATGGAGCTTGCGGGACTGGAAGCTGCTCTGGGTGAGTCAGTGAGTGAGCAGTGAGTGAATGTGAAGGCCTAAGACGTGAGCGTACGCCACTGCAGACTTTATAAACAGTGCACCCTTAGGTGACGCTAAATTTATAAAACAACGTGAGATTAAATCAAGCTCAGGAGAAAACGAAGCAATCAAGAGACACAGTTAACACAAGACGTACGAGGCTGCTGCCAGCGTAACATGGCATACGGTTTCACGGCAAACTTTTTTGTGAGTAGAACGAGCATACTGTAAAATAATGATAAAAATATAGTATAGTAAATACATAAACCAATAACATAGGCGTTTATTATCACTATCAAGTAGTATGCACTGAACATAATTGTATGTGCTATACTTTTATACAACCGGCAGCACGATAGGTTTGTTCACACTGTGAGCCACAAACACGTGAGTCATGCCTTGTGTTACTACCTTACTAAGGCTATGATGTCACTAGGTGATAGGAATCATTCAACTCCATTAGAACCTTATAGGGCCACCATTGTATATGTGGCCTGTTGTTGACTAAAATGTCATTATGGGGCGAACAATTTACCCCATTGTGTTGCGGTGAGCAGCACTGGTAATGTATGTGTAGGAAAAAAACATAGCATGTGCAGGGTTTGGTACTGTCTTTAGGTTTAGGCATCTACTGGGGGTCTGGGACCATATCCCCCTGAGAATAAGGAGGGACTCCTGTGTCTCTATCTCTCAGGTATGGTCAGAGGGGCCAGGGTTTGGTCCGTGCTGGGGCGAGGCTGTGTCATGCTGATTGTCACCATCTTGTCAGATGAGCGAGTGAAGGGAGAAGGGTGAGGGCCACTCTGCATTGCCACCTCTAAGGCAGGTCCAGGTTTCCTTATTGGAACATCCTGATGGGCAGCCTTTCCCCTGGAAGGAAATATCCGATGGTATAAGACACCAGGAGGACCCTCTTCACTTGACGCCCGGCAATGCAGTCACGGGGGAAAGTTCACGCACCAAGCTTCGAAGTCATTTCGTTGAGCTCATCAATAGTTGCCTTACAGGAACGATTCCATGCCTAAGAAGCATTTTAAGCCTTTTTAAGCTCCAAAGATTAGGGTGAAACAGGGAGGGGGTGGGAGGAGGACAGATAAACAACAGACTGGAGCCCGTTCTCGAGAAGTAGATTCCGTACTTTGGTTAGATTAATCCTCAAATTGAAAACAGCCCTGAATCATTCTAAGAAAGGAGAGTCGAGATAAGAGAAAGCCCTTGGCAAAGCCCCGGCGTTGAGCTGTTTGTGGAAGTGCTACTGCATCCTTTTTTTGGAAGGGCAGAAGAGGAGCCCGCAGAGGACGAATAGAGAGTGAGAGTTTTGTAGGACAGTCAGGGGAGGTGGGAGGAGGAAGAGGAAAAGGGGCAGAAGCCACGTAGGTGATGCACGCCCGTTCTGTCCAACCACCCAGGAGTCTTTCCCTCTCAGCCTGGGGACCCGTGACCTGCCTGTTCTCACACCATTAAAAGCATGAGCATCAGGTTCTGCAAAGACTGAGGGACAGAACAGGCTGGCTTGGCTTCGGATCCAGACAGGACACTCACAGAGGACCTTAACACCTACCCGTGGACGCCAGCCCCTCTCTGTGGCATGCCTGGCTTCTGGCCCCAAGATAAGGCCTGCTTGGGTCCCAAAGGACTCCAAGGCTATGCTTGAAGGCTGAAGAGTGCCATTAGAGGAAAATAACAGTTTCGCACTGGTTCATAGTCACACCTATAAAGACTTAACTGCAGCATCTGTGAGTAGGAAGGACTCTGTAAGCCTCAGCTGTCAGGAGCAGGGATCTGACAAAAATCGAGCATACAGCAAAAGCTTCTGCAGAGTGGGGCTGCCACGGCGGGCATCTCCGAGGGCAGCACGAATGACCCAGGCCATGTTTATTAAAAATCAAGAAAGAGGTCTACAGCCAAGCTACCCTGAACAAGCCCTATCCCGTCTGATCTCGGAAGCTAAGCAGGGTCGGACCTGGTTAGTACTTGGATGGGAGACCACCTAGGAAGACCAGGTGCTGTAGGCATAAAAAATAAAAAAATAAGGGATCGTAAGCTGATAAGGTCCTTGCAATCTATCAGGTCAACCAAGAGTTGCCTCACCTTAAAAAAAAAAAAAAAATCAAGGAAGACGAGGAGCAGAGTCACAGTCAGGAAGGAGAGAGGTGGCTCCTTACTGAAAGGAGCCTTTCGGTTTCCCTTCTCTGTCTAAGGTTTGAGCGATGCCAGAAGAATCCGGGCCAATCCAGGAGCCCAGCATGGATGCCAGGCGGGTCTTGGTGGATCCGTAAGAAGGTGGGACCAGGAGCCCACTTCAAAGATTACACAGGGAAGTGCCCAAGAAGACTCTGAGCTACCCATCCCTGCTCCCCCAGGCTCTGTGAGCATGAGGAAGGACACCTTGCTGAGGAGGACTTGGGGACCTCAGGAATATTTCAGTTTTCACGCGCTGTTTACTGACTGAGACTCAGCTCAGGGGCGTGCAGGCTCCTCTGTAATTAATTTTCTCCACCTGCAATTGTGTGGTGAGGAAGGACATTGGACTTGATGCCTGTTCAGGATCTGAGATAGTCCCAGGAGCACGGGCTGAGGACAGGACAGGGGGAACATTCCAGAAAAAGGCAACAGTCCATGCAACTAGCCTGGGGAACCTGGGGAGAGGCACGCGGATGGAGTTACTCAGTCTTAACTTGTTCTCTAGATTTTTAAGTTGCGTCCAGCACGTTCCTTCTAACCTATTCCCTTTTCCCTGCTGCATTTTTACCTGTCTTCATCTTTCGAAAAAAAAAAAAAATTCAATGTATGAATATTTTAGAAAGTATAAAATATTTTCAACGTTTATCAAAACCACTGAAATATACCCTTTAAAAATAATTTTTAAAAAATTGTATCAAAGTGATATATACCTAGGATTAAAAAAATAATAGCATAAAATGGCTTATAAGAAACAACTGTCCCCTCTCAAGCCTAGAAGCAACTACTTTTTAATTTTTAAAATTGTTTCTGTTTTGAGTCCTACCGATCACCTCTGTATCTCCATATACGGTGCTTCTATTACCACTTCTTGCTTCATCGATGACGTACCTTCTCAATGACCTTGGATTTGGACGGATGCGAGTTTGGCTCACTCAGGCATAGTCACCCGCCTCTCCTTTCTTCTTCCCAACAGAACTATAGCACGGTCCGTGATTTCTCTGTTGGTCACCTTTGTTTAAAGAACGCACACACTGATGTTATTTTAAAATATGTGCTATGTGCACCCAGACGCGTCTGCGTATGTACATGCTGTGGCGTCTCGCTTTCCTGCCTTTCGTCATTTCCCTTATCGCCTCTCTATCTACATGATTTCAAAATAGTTGAGACAATGTGACGGGTTGGTTGGAATTACTCACAGCTGCGCTGCCCATAAATAAGCAAGATGAAGGAGTGAGCGGAATGCAAGAGGAGCTGGTGTCCGCAGCCCTGGAAACTGGCCCAGACAAAGTGAAGGGATCAAGGTCCACCCCACTTTTGCCTACACACACGTCCGCCAGTGGACAGTCAGAGGCGAAGAGAAAGGCTGCACACGGGCACAGGCCTCCTCGTGCCTGTGTGAACCCCCTTTCGTAACCTTCCCTCTTTGCCAGCCAACTCCTTGCTGTTGACTCTGCATCACCGTCCCCTCCAGGATCGACAGTCACCCCTAGGAACAATGGTCAGTTCCCCTCCTCCAGCCATGGTTCCAGCTCTGCTTCTCTGCTCCCCGCCCTCCTTCAGCCAGTCATGGAGCCAGCAATATTCACGGAGCAACCACCCTACGCTTAGATGCTGAGAACACAGGCAAGAACAAGACAGGACAAGGGAGAGGGGCTTGAGGCCATTGAAAGAGACAACCAATAAATAAATTCACCGAATAGGATGGAAGTACCATAAAGGATGTTGAGATAGGAAATAATAAACCTTCTGTTCTCTGAAAAGAAATGCAACTGGGCATTTAGGCTGAGACCAGAGAGTGCGAAGGAGCCAAGTCTACGCAGAGCCGCCTGAAGGAGGTCCAGGAAGAGAAAAGTGAGCGTGCAAAGGGCCCGTGGCAGCGATGGAGAGCGGGGTGTGTTTGATGCGCTGAGGGGAGGCCCTTCACCTGGAGTTTGGCAGACAAAGGGAGAATGGTCCAAGGTGAGGTCACCAGAATGCAAGCACTAGGCCACACGGGGCCTGGCTGGCCAGGTAAGGAGTATGGATTTTATTCTAATCACAATAGGAAAGCATTGAAGGGATTCAACAGAAAAGAAACATGACCACATCTTTTGCCTTAAGATGTCCTTTCTGGAGATGGAGGCGAGGCATCGATGGGTTTCTTCTTTCTTAATTAGACGCAAGGACACCTCCTCTTTCTTGGGGGAAAGGGTCCATTTCCTCTCCAGATGTTATCATCTGTGGCTACCCAGTGGTTCAAGGACCCGGGAGAAGAGAAGATGCTTATCAGACGCCTGTTTGGCAGCATTTAATATAGTCTCTCACATCACACGCCCACACAAAGGGCCCTGGCATTGTGCATCATCGCCCAGGGTGAGCGGAGTCAGCCTGGGGCGGGAAGGCTGCTGCCTGACAGCATTCTCTTCCCAGGGTTTCAGACTGGGCCTCGGAAGACTGGAACTACAGCCGGATGCATTGCAGTCCCCTATTAACATTTTTTTTTTTTTTATCACCTGAACTCTTTCCTCGGTCTCCCTGGATCCACAGCAGGAGTTGCCACGTGATTCTGCTGGGATCCACCCCCACTTTCAGCGACGGGGTTTGAGGTGCTGTCCCTCCACTTTTCAAAGCCTTTCCCCTGGTCGTCAGAGAGTGCTGGCTGGGGCTTGGCTCTGTGAAATAGGGGACTTTCTCCTCCCACCTCCTCTACCTTCCCCATCCCTCCCTCCACCCCTCCACTTTTCCTGGCCTTTATATTATCTGTTCAGAGCAAAGCCATCTTCCGGAACTGCCTGGATGGGATCTTGCCTCCCATCAAAGCCACAGAACCTTCCTCGGGCCCAGTTAGCGATGTCTGTCAAAACTTTAACTGCTGCAGCCTTTGGAGGCGGCTCTTCCCTTCCTGGGGCTGGAGGGGAAGTGTCACTTGCGAAGGCCCACCATGAGCTGGTGTCAGCTCATGGGGTTTGGTGGTTAGGATTGTGGTTTGCTGATCAAAGCGAGGCTTGAGCCAGTCCTCAGCTCTGCAAGGCACACTCCTTGGTGGGCACGGTACCTTCGAGTCAGACTGCCTTAGGTCGCATTCTGGCTACACCAGTGACAGCAGGCAAGTTTAACTTCTCTGAGACTCAGTTTTCTCATCTGTAAAATGGGGCTAATGATGGTAGCATCCTCTTCATAAGGTCATGGAGAGAGTTAAATAAGATTAAAAATACATGTAAAGCATTTAACACATGGCAATACTTAAAGAGTTCCCCTGTCATTTTAGCTAGTGAAATTCCACCAGATTCTGTGGGTGCTGGGATCATAGAGAAAGCACAGAATTTTCCGGAGACGCTGCCGGAATCAAAGAAAAGGGAGGGCTATCCTACCTTTTCCCTTCCCTGTCGGCCAATCTTTCACCCGCGCCCTAGTGGCCAAATCCACCCAGAAGCCAGCGGTCTGGAGGGCCTGATAGAGGTCGTTTCTACCTGTGCAGAATAAGGCAAGGGAGTGGATCTGAGAACAAACAGGCATCTGCATGCAGGGTACACACGTGTCCACATTTTCATACTTTGGGTATGTGTGGTCTAGGCTGCATGTTCATAAATATGACACATCAAGAAATAATGGCAAAGCAGTTTACATAATCTGCCCTATTCAACCTCTCCCCCGCCACCCCACACACACTGTAAGGTAAAGAAACCGAGACTCAGAGAGGATGATTTATCCAAGCTCACGGCAAGTTGTAAGCAGTGATCCAAAATGGCAGCCCGGCCAGCCTTCGCCAGAGCCTGTGTGCCCAGCCCCCACGCCACCCAGCCCATGGGTTAGCTGGGGCCAGACTTGTCAAGACGAGGGTCCTGGCTCCCTGCGAAGTGGCTGAAGGCGCCCACCCTCTGTCAGGAACAGGGAGCCTGCTCCTTCGGGAAATGTCCCCAGGCACCCTCTTCTCCTGCCTTCGTTTTTCGTGTGTATGAGCTCTGCCACTTCAAATCGCTTCCTCAGCAACAACTCAGTCTGGTAGAATAGAAAAGTAACAAGGATTAATTACCCACCACCCCCCACCCCCCAATAAATAAATAAATAGCAGCTTTGGGCAAGAAAAATATTGAATTCTGTTCACATAGATGCAGCATCAATTACATAGTTTCTGAAAAGAAATTTAAATAATTTCCCTCCTTTCCACCCCTCCTTCCCCCACAAGGCTCCAGGTAAGTCTGGCGGGTCCCGAAGAAAGTGGGGGCGGGAGGGGGGCAGCAAGGAGTGCAGGCTGTGGCTGGTCATCACCTACCTTCTTGTCGGCTCAACAAGCAAGACCCCCAGTGGGCCCGTTCCCTCTCAGAGTCCAAGGCCAGGGGCTGATGTGAAGTCAGCAGGTATTTAGCAAGCAGGAAAGCAAGCCAGCGAAATTTGTTCTTTTGTTTTGTTTTGTTTTGTTTCGGGGGGAGAGTAGAAGGATGGGAAGAGGAGGCATGATCTCATGTCTTATTTTTATAATTAATCACTTGGGCTTGTGCTAGCAGGAAGGCCAGACTCTGCCCCCTTGAGACCTCCCACTACCGAATTGTGTAATCGCCCCCGAGGCTTGCTCAGTCCACAGTGGGAGTCAGCACAGAATCCAAAAACCAGGAGGAGAGAAAGCTGGGAGCAGAAAACAAAGGTTGAACGCTGGCCCGTGGGTGTACTTTATGTGACACAGACGAGGTGGCCCACACAGGCACAACATTTAGAAATGGAAAGAATTCAAGATTTCTGGCTTCTCTTGGAAAAGCCAATTTTCTGGCCACTGAAGGCTCACGTTCCTGCCGGGCAAGAATGCTGGATACGGCTAGCCCACCACAGTCCTCACCACCCCCTATCGCTCCCCACCCTGAAGCTAAGTGTTAATTGCCTTTCGTCACCATCGTCAGGCTGTTTTCCTTACATCTTTTCATTCCACTCATTTTAAATTACCTGCCTGGCTATGGTAGGCATCTACCTTGTAGCCCGAGTCTCATGAATCTGTTATGGTCATTACTTCTATCCTTGCCACCTGCCACCAGTTTCCCTGGGACCACGCAGAGACCCATCTGCCTTCCCAAAGTTACTTTCCACTCTGCTTCAAGTAGTTACTCTCAGTTCCTTGAAAACGCATCGCCCCTCCTTCCTCCGAGCCTTTGCTCTTGACATTTCCCCTGCGTTCATGCTTCCCCTGTTTTTCTCTTAACAACTAAATTTTAGCCTAGTTATTAGTTTTCTATCGCTGCCATAACAATTCACCATACTTAGTGGCTTAAGCAACACAAACTGATTCTTTTATAGTTCTGTAGGTCAGACGTCAGACATGGGTTTAGTGGGCTAAAAGCAAGGTGTCAGCAGAGCTGTATTTTTATGGATCCCAATTTTGTGCTGGCTACCAGCCTAGGGCCATTTCTCAGCTTCTAGAGACCACCCACATTCTTGGCTCTTGGCCCTCTTTCCCCATCTTCAAAGTCTAGTCTCTCTGACACTTTGAATCTCTCCTTTTCCTTCTGTTTCATCCCTCTGACCCACCCAGGAAAGATTATCTGCTTTTAAGGATTCATGTCTTTAAGAAATTGGGTACACTCAGACAATCCAAGACAATCTTTCCATCTCAAGGTCCAAATACTAAATGGCATCTGCAAAGTCTCTTTTGCCATATAAGTTAACATATTAATACATTTGGGGGTACTAGGACATTGGCACATTTGATGGCCATTATTCTATCTATTTATCTGATTAACAGTCCGTCCATCCATCCATCTATCCATCCATCCATCCATCCATCCATCCATCCTACCATTCATCCATCCATCTTTCTATTCTATCACACTCTTTTAGAAGCCTAATTCAAGTCTTACATCTTCTAAAAAGTTCTGCTTAACTATTTCCCTTCTAAACTACTGTGCTGTGTGACATTGACAGAGTCACTTGCTCTCTGTTTTCATTTCCATTGGGTACAGTGGTATGCTGGCTCTCACGGCAGGGGAGAAGCCCTGATGCATAGGGTTTGCCAATTTCCGTGATATAAATATTCCCGCATGGCCGATTTCAATCTACCAGTACAGAGATGGGAAGAGATGTGTACAGTCAGCTCTTTCGATCCAGTAGGAGCCAGCTCTAACACTCTATTCCTGGGGCATAAAATGGGGAATTGACTAGTCATTCCAAATGTCATCGGAGAATCAATGATTTCTCAAAAACCAGGAAACTTTGATTGCTGTCTGTGCAAGTGTGTCCTTCTCTGGGGCTGGTGCCATCTCCAGTGTAAATGTTTCAAAGATACCTCTGTGACAAACATATCAGAGGGCTGGTTTCATGAGCTAGGGCTGGAAGAAAGACGTGGACACCTCTGGAGTCTGTTGACTTTTGTGCGATCACAAGGTCCTAAATCCAACCACAAAATGAGCTTGGCTTTATGAAAATACATGATTTTCCCCCAGAAACTAATCCGAATGTATAACAGTTTTTTATTAGGATTTCCTTGGGTCCACATCATCAAGTGGAAGAATCAAAGGAAGAATGCCAGCTCATAAAAGAAACATCAGGATGTCATATGAAGTACCTTAATCATTCTCTCCTGCAATATGTATTTTCATTTGTGGTTGTTGAATTTCTTGCTTTCAGGCAGCCCAGGAAAATAACAGCTGTATTTATTGAGTGCTTATTACATGCAAAGATCTTCACCCATCTTGTCTAATTTAATTGGCCTTATTGGTACCAACTAGTTGAATAACCAACTAGTTAGAAAATGGGGACACTTGGATCCAAACCTCGAACTCTCAGTTCCACTGTTCTTGCATTTGAATACCAGCCCTCCAGACGGGGTCACGGCAAAGGTGTGTGCGGGACCCAGTGGGAGGGGTCAGAACTGGCAGGAACATGAGTACTGATAGGGACAGGTGGCCTGTTTCCGAAAGATCTGATTCCCATGGGCCCGTTGACTAATGCTGCCTTTCTTTATTTGCTGTCTATTTACTTAGTTCCAAAAATAACATCTGAATAGCCTCAGACCAGACTGAAAGACCTGTCATCTCCAGAAGGCACCACTGCTTATTTCTATATCCTCCTTCCCAGATCCCCATTTTCTCATACACCCCTAAGGTGACATTTACACACCCATTTCATTTGGCAAACGATTATTGAGTACCTGCTGTGTGCCACATACAGGAGATCCAAAGATGAGAGGATCACAATCTCAGCCCCAAAGTATCCTCAGGTGGGACATGCCAGGGTGTTTAGGTCATATCCACAGGATGTCACAGAAGTCCTCAGTGTAGAGAGCAGACTCCAAGTTCCAGAAGAAGAAAGCTTCATCCGGAGGACTCCCGAGCTGAGATTTGAAAGAGTGAAATTTTCTAAGCAGCAGAGGTGGAAGATGACTTTACTAGCAGGGGAACCACGAGGGTAAATCAATGAAGGCATCATAGGTCCTATGACTGGAGTATAGGGCGGGAATAAAACCAGTGGCGAGAGGAGAAAGCAAAAGTCACCGGGGCCAGCTTAGCAGGGCTTCCTATAATCAGCCTGGACTTTGTCCTGTAGGCAATGAGGCACTGATGAGGAGTTTCAAGCGGATGAGTGACACAACCCGATTGGCATTTTAGAGGTGGCTCATCTGGTATGGTGAAGTCTGCAGGCGAGGGCAGAGCTGAGGGACGTGAGGGCCTGAGCCACAGTGAGGCGGTGAGGGTGGGGCTGGGAGGACAGATGTGAAGGATAGGCACACACGCAGACTGACTCCCTCACACGCATCCTTTGCAAGAACCACCGCCCGAAGGTGAGCCACGCCTGGGAGCTAGAAGAGCACATTCCACAGACCCCAGCAGGTCAGAGGAGCAAATGAACTCTGGTGAAGGGGCTATTCAGAAAGAATCACTTGTTCCCAGGTCAACTGATAAGCAGAGATTGCACAAACAATTGCACAAATGGCTGCTAGGTGCAAGGCACGGTGACAGCACACCAATCAATATTCAACAGTTCAGGAAGAGTGAGATCAGCAAGGGCAAGAAAACAATCAACCCTTCTGTTGGGGGTGGGGGCAATCGTGTTCATGAAGCATTCTGTCCTTCAACACATTGGCAAAGTTGGTGAAATGAACTACATTTTACAGTTGAAAAGGGAAGTCGTTGATATGCCCAGGGCTACCAAGCTGATACGAGAAGGAGCTAGAAATAAACCTTGCTCTCCAGAGACCGAGTTTAGCTTCTGGACACACTGTCCTGAGTACCTCTTCTCAAATTCTGCAACTCGGGTCACCTGTTCCACATGATCTAACACTTGACTAGTCTTTAATTATGTCATAGGGTAGTAATGGCTTAACATTTAAGGTCTATGCCACGTAGCAGGAGCTGTTCAAAACACTTTATATGCTGTGAACGGACCTAAGCCAATTTGTCCATTCAACGGCTGCCAGGCTCTTTGGGAAATAATAGGGCTTTCTGCTAATTAGAGGACAGGAGTACATGGCTTCCCCTCTCAACCTGCTACCTGATGGCATTACAATAAAAGTAGTTCTGCCACATGTACAAAGAGGCATAAAATCACCCACACGTTAGTCTCTGTAAGTCCCCACTCCCTGCCTTTTTAGCCATTCTGACACCACTTGCAGAGAAGGGTCATTTTGTAATCATAGCTCAATGGTGGAGTCAACTGGCCTTCTGGTGGGACCACAAGCCCGAGGCAAGACCAAAAGGGAATCTAGACCTAGAATTCTTCTCTGAAGGTGTTAGGCGGCAATGTCACCAGATTTTTTTATTTTATTTCTGCCAGGGCAAAAGTGCCTGTGCAGTCAACCATCTATCTTGAATATTGCTCATTTCATCCACAAAAAAATTTATTTCTTAACATTGCTTATGCTAATTAACTGGGCCCCTGGTGCTACTTTAGGTAGTAATATTTGTAGCCCCCCTACCATGGACACTCTGGACGGTGGGTCGTTTAAAGAATGCTCTTGGAAAAGTCACTATGTGCTGGCATGGTTCCAAGTGCTTAGAACTTTACACGTGATGACCCATTTAACTGTTGTAGCAACCCCATGAAGTCTATACTAATATGGTCCTCGTGTCTCCAGTGAGGAAACTGAGTCATAGAGGAGTTAAGGGCTGCTTCCCCAGATGGGGTGTGAGAGCCTTAAAAGTAGACACTGTGGGTGTGGTCTCTCCTCCCATCTCCATCCACAGAGCCGAGCCCAGTGCTGGGCACGTGATAAATACGTGTTGGGAACAGATGATAAACAGAGAACTACAGCAGTCGGTTTTACTGAATGGCCTGAGGTCGGGGAGTGTGGTTTACTGAGAGCATTAGCTGAGAACTATCCTATAGTCACTAATGGAACCCATTCTGCACCTGTCATTCTTCGAATATGCCTTCCTCCGAGCCCCATGACTCCTGCGTGGCTCAGAGTTGGCCTTGGCAAGGACCTGTTGTCATAAATGGTAGATTTGCCTAATTGGTCTTCCCTCATCAGATACAGAAGTCCCTCATGCATCTCGGGGTGTCGTCTCAAGGAGCACTCAATGAATGCTCCTAAAATGAGTGGAAGATCGCATGATTCAGGGAGAGAAATTACACAGCCGTGTGTGTTGTTCTTTGTACTCTTGTCTAACCCCTTTTATAAACACTCGCTCCATTGATTCTCATGCCAGTTTGGAGATGACGTAGTTTCCGTAATAAATTAAAAATAAATGAAGAAATGAAATGGGAAAAAAAAAGGAAGAAAGATAACACAAATCAGGAATGTGCCATGTGCCAAACACTTTTACATATATCTTCTCATTTAATCCGCACAAAACTTACTTAAGACAGGCTCAGAGAGGCTAAGAGACTTGCCCGAGATCACACAGCGATTAAGCAGCTTTGCTACTCGCTCCATCCGACGCCAACCCAGGCTCTTGCCACCGCACTGCAGAGATGGCATGCAAATGAGCTTAGGAGAGGTATCAACGTCAGGCAGTGTCTAAAAGAAGTACATTTGAAAGAGGTGCTCAGAGGTCTGCCTTCTCCAAAGAGAAAAGGCTTTGAAAATATCACAGCGCAATCTATTCAGAAAGCTGACGAATCTAGACAGAAAGAGACACCCAAATCTCAAAATCCCTCCTCTCTTTCAGGTTTTCTATTACATTGAAGGCGGGGGGGAGGAAACTTGCCAACATGCAAAGTGTATGCGGAATTTGACTCAAAAATGTTTAATAAATCAAAGATGCACTTAGAACAGGAAACATCACACAGCCCAGGTGATGATAGTTCTTTGTGAGGCTGAAGATCCAAAGGGGGCGGCCTTGTATTTCTGCAGAACTGATTGATGGAATGGGAGAGATCAGGAGGAAAAAAAATACACTTTCTGCCATAGACAGCCACCAAACAGAAGAAGTTTAAAATGCAAGAGGGAAGATTGAAGCCCACAGAAAGATTAAAGAAAGAAAAGAAGTACAAATGAATAGACGAATTATCGTCTGAAGTTCCTGAGGTGTTTACTTCACATTGGGTTGTGCTGCATTTGGACGTTGCGCAGTTGTACAGCCTTGGTGATTCTTATGTCTTTTCAAACCTCAGAGACCACAAGAGCCAGAACCACCAATGACCAAAGACCAGGATTCATTTTGGCAAGAGGGAGGCATCTCTGAATTTGGAGTTTATGGTTTGGTTGTGAGCCCTTGCCAAGAGAGAGACTGTCATCTGATCAAAAGTGGTCACCCACTGTCACTCCATCCACCCATCTACCCATCCATCCACCCAATAAATATTTATTGGCATTTCATACCACGCCCTGAGCTAGGACATGGTCATGAGCATAACAGACAAGGTCCTTGGTCTTCTGGAAATTACTGCATACCTGAGAAGGGCACACAGTGAAGTTGAAGAAGTAAGCAGAGGCCAGAGCAGCAGGGTCTTGATAAGAATTTAGGATTTTATTCTACATGCAAAGGGGAAATATTGAGGAGTTGTAAGTAGGGTGTGGCATGATCTGATTAGGTTTTTATTCCATAAATGCTACTGGGTGGTATAAAATGGATTTAACAGGAGGTAGGGGTGAATACAGGCAGAGCAGTGAGGGGGCTATTGCAGGAGATGAGGTATGGGCTTGAATTAGGATGGAGGCAGCAGAGATAGAAGGTACTGGAAGGATTTGAGATATATTCTGGAGATAGAAAACATGGTGATGATTTGGGTTTGGGGAGGGAGAGGAAAGGGAGAGCTCGATGCTGACTTCCAGATTTCCAACTTGAAGCCGTTCTCTAAGATGGTGCCATTCTCTAAGATGGAAAGGATTGGAAGAGACTATACATCCCTCCTATCCTCCAGCTGGCATTTCTTGAGCACCTACTATGTGCTGGAGACTCTACAACAGCTTCTGAGAAAAAGAAGACAAGCTGCATCATGGATTCATCCTGACTTGTGGCTCAGCCTGATCGACGGGCATCCTTTTTCTGGCCATGCTAAGGGACCACACGGAATTCAGGATTGCCAGTGTGTCACTGGGGTTCCCCATCCTGTTCACCTAATTCCAACCTGGGCTCATCAGATCATAAGGTTTTATAAAGATCAAATTTTACCTGGAATTGACCATAGCGGAAAAAACTTTAATTTTCCTATATAATTGAGTTAAGTGTGATGAAAACGATGCCAAACGATCAGGGTTTTCTTTCTCCTTTGGCCAACAGGGAGCTGAGCTACAAATGAGCTGAGCTACACATTTGTAGCTCAGCTGATAACCGTGTAGAGTTTATGGTTTCCATGATGGCATCCTGGTTTTCTCTTCGATATTGATTACGCCACAGAAACATCTGTTGTTGTCTGCCCGTGGACCTGGATCCGCCTGGCCATGTTTGTCACTCAGCTGTCTCTGATTAGACCAAGAATAGACTGGGGATACTCATTGAAAACTTGGCTGAGCCATTTAGGTTTCCTGAATTGGATATTTCTACTAAGGGATGCAAAGTAAATTTCCAGTTAACAGTAGTGAATGCGATGGGGTGACACCAGATACCCTATTTCTCTCGTCTGCCAGGTGTTGGCTGCTGAAGGCTCTCAGCTGAGTTCCTCTCTGAAAATTAAGCCTTGACCAGGGTTGCCTTCCCCAAACTTATATCTTTGGGGCTAGCCCATATCCAAAGATGGGATGATCCTAGTACATAGGCCCCGCCCCTGAGGCCCATGGTGGGGCGGGGAGTGCAATTTTTTGGTAAACCCTATGAGGGCAGCAGTGTGACATCAGTCCAGACCCCCTCCCATGGTTTTTGATGTGTCTCCATTGTTTTTCAGGCCCCCCTCAAATCGTGCAATGCCTTGGCTGCATCTGTATCATCTTCTTCAAGAGCAGAGATGTGCAAACTATGTGTTTCTTTTTGAAATATAGTTTCATTGGAACATAGCCAATATGTAACAATATATATAAGGACATATTTTACAATATGTTCAATAGCCCATTGGCATAAGTATTACCTGTGGCTGCTTGTGTGTTACAATGGCAAGATCGAGCAGTCACAACAGAAACTGGTTAGCTAGAAAATAACTAAAATTTTTATTATCTGGCCCTTTCAGCAAGCGTTTGCTGACCCCTGTTCTAGAAAGAACAAATGATATAAGGGTTACCAAGAAAATGGTCCTTCCTTCCCTGGGTTGGAGATCAGACTCACTGAGCATGAGGCCCTTTCATTTCTGAGCCTCTGTGGGGCTCAGCAAGTGCCATCCCATAAAAAGACTTTATTGACATCAAGGCCCATGTGTTCGCAGCGCATGTCCTATGCCAGCCACTGCACTTAGCACCTTGCCTTTCTGCTCCCACATATGCCTCTCGGTAACACCGTGAAGAGGGACCTATGTTGTCCTTATTTTGCAAATGAGGAAACCGAGGCCCAGGGATAGTGAATGACTGGCCCAGAGTCGCACAGCGGGGATGTGGCAGAGCTGGCGCTCACCCTAGGTGCGTTCTGAGTCCAAGCTGCTATTTTGGGGTGCCCCTCTCTGCTGCCTCTCCGTCCTAAAGGCCTAGAAGGCAGAAGACTGTTATCACTCAAGGAATACAAACGAAACAGGTGGTTGCTGCATAGAAACACTGGCTAACCCAGTACAGCAGAATGTGGGGCTCTGGAGGGGGTACAGTGAGGAAGCCTTTCCTTAGGGTGGAAGAATCAGCCCCTGGAGGACCAGAGGCCCAAGGCCACCTGACAGGGGCTCTCTCCAGAGGCATGTAACCCAACACTTGAGACAATGTCACCCAGACGGAGAGAACAGACTAACTTGATACCATCTGAAACCCTTACGGGGACAGAGGCTAAAGGTTCGGTATTTGAATTTAGAAATCAGAAATCCCAGGTAGGTTAGTTCCAACTCCCCAGATAAAGACATAGTACATGATAAACTAGCCTCTTTGTCCTCCTAAATTGAAAGGATTAAGTATCTTTTAGAGAATTCGCTCCTTTAGGGCTCCATGCAGAAATGTATTCAATTCACATTGTAGCGATAACAAAACTTTAGGGAAATAAGGGACAATATGTGGGAGGCCTGTGGTTATTATACAAAGAGCAAAATTGTTCACTTTTTGCTTGTAATAAAGGGAAGATTATATGTCAGGGAAAGTAATCCGGATTAAAAAGATGAACAGCCAGCTCATCTGAGTCACTTCCTGTTGACACAGGAAGAAAAGCTTCAGGTTTGTTTCCTGGGAATCTCTTCACAAAGTCAGAGGGTCACTAGTTCACGCAGGGCCACAGATGAGGAAAGAGATGTGTAAGTCACATGAATAATTCAGTGATTTGATTTGCCCAAAATTTCCATTTCTACTTTTCACCATCTGTGCAGATGCTACGAAGCCACCGGCTTTGAATCTGAAGAACAGCAAACTCCTCACACACGTGACCTTTTTTCGCTCTTGCTCTGTGATCAGATAAGTATCAACAGTGTCGGCACCACACCAATGACCCGCTGAGCCCCCATCAGCGTTGTTGCCACCTGTTAGTCTATGGAAACCTCCTACCCACAAGGACGTCTGTCCCATCTCCTTGCTTCATTCTTTTTACTAAAAGTAATCTTTCTTACATTTTCATTGTCTGTCTGTCTCTCCCCCAACCAGAATGTGTGCTCTTTAAAAGCAAATTCCTGTCTGCCCCCTCGGACCCTGCATCACTGACTCTTAGCTCACAGCACGTCATTGGGGAATATTTGACGACTAGTAATGTAGTGTTCATGAATAAATGGAAAATGTTCAAAATTTCACAAATACTTTAATTTTTTACATCCAGTTTCTCTTTCCACATGGAGTTGGCTATGCTATCTTAGGTTTCCTGGTTATAAAGTATCCAATTGTCATTGTCAAAAAAAATGGTTATTCATTTAAGACATATTTATTGAACACCTATTATGGGCCAGGCGAGTGCCAAGCATCCATGCCAGGAATTCAATGGTGAGCAAAACAGAGTGACTGCTCTCATGAGCTTTCAGTCCAGTAGGGAGAGTGGGGGAACAAATATTAATGAAATAACAACACAAGTGTGCAATTAGGATGTTGGAAAGTGCTCTGAAGGAAAAACACATGCGAGGCTTCTGAGGAAGTAATGTTTGGGCTGAGATTTGAAAGATGCTTTAACTAGGTGAATTAACGAGATGACCTTGCTAAAGAGTGATTAGGGTTAGAGTTAAGAATGGAGTTATGTCTAGAGTAAGGATTAAGGGAGGGATAGGATAGGAGGTTAGAGAAGAACTTTCCAGAAAAAGAGACGTATATGTACATATGCTATAGGAGTCAGGCGGATGTTGATCGGAGGTGAGTTGACGGCTGCCTAAAATAGGGTGGAGACAAAAATAAGTGGAGAAAAGAAGACAGATTGGGAGTTATTTAAGAGGTAAAATGTCCAGACTTGGTGTGTCCTTCAAGGGCCATCTGGTGGCTGGGGCATTGACTTTGGCCTTCTCCTGGTTGGGTGCTCATGGGGCCCTCTATGACTAGAAACCTGGCTTCCAAAGCTGGCAGCAGCCACTGAGCATCCGAGTGTGTGTGCACATAAGAAGGGCAGATGGGTGAGCAGGAGGCCCACAGGAGCACCTGCCTCAGTCAGCAGCAGGGGTTTAGAACCTGGATTTAGGACTCAGGCAGGAGGATTTCTGGAGCCCTGGCATAGATTACTGTGGGCAGTCAGGTGTTTACAGGAGCTCAAGTCTGTGCTTATTAAAGAGATCAATTGTGTCCATGAGAACCCATGCTTAATGGGTAACTGTTGTATTATATAGCCCTACCTACAGCGTATAACTAAATAAGGAACATAGAAAACAATTGGCCCCAAACATGAGCATCACGGGATTTTTTTTTCCTCTCCTGCTCAAAGAAAGACTCCAGTGAAAAGAAAAAAATATATAATTAGAAAGTAAAAACCTTACGTAATGAAATTTAAAAGAAAACTTTTGAAGCCAACATGCAACCAAGGGCAATGCTTCAAAGGGCCCAGAATCAATGTTTGTCAATAGCAGTTTTGCATCCTTTAATTTATCTTTCATGAATATAAAGCGTGATGTTATTAGGAGCTCATCCATGCCTTAATTCTGTTTGAGATTTGATGAATCAGAACTCTATTAACATTCTGTCCGAATCAGCAACGTCAGAGGCCTGTGGCAGAAGCCTCACCTGGTCCGGAGCTTTCATCCTGCAGCTGGGATGCTAGTTAAGCATCGGGCCTTCTTCACCAAGCACTCGGCAGCCCTCCAGCTTCAGCCAGGAGCCAAAGCCGGAGGCTTTTTATCTCCGTCACTTTCTTTAGAGACTTTCTCGCAGAAAAGAAACCACCCCATGACTCAGCCCGGCCCAAAGTTATTTGTTTAATCAAGATAGTTGGTTTGCAAAACATTAAACATTAAACAGTATTTGATGCCTAGTTAATAATTTGCATCCTCTTCATTTGTTCCTGAATCCTTGAAGACTGACATTTTTCCCCCCTAAAGGCACAGACAACGAAAGAAATTGCATTTAAAGCAAAACAAGAGTCCTTAAACTGCAGAGATGTTTGCCAAAATGTCTGCTCCCCAAGTTCTGCTGCTAATGGTTCTAGCCGGAAAGACAGCCTTCGGGGTAAGTGTTCTTTCCGAATACCTGTAGTTGAGAGACTCAGGTGGTCAGGAAGACCAAACCAACTGGGCCAGGAGCAAGGGGGAACTTTAGCTGTGAAAGGCTAGTGTTGTCGTGTGGGACGTCGCGGTTACCAGAGCAAACGCAGGCCTGTAGTGTTGGTGACTGTCGAGCTGCTAGTTCCATGAAGCCATGCGACTGGCTTGAGCTCTCTTGGAGCACAGGCTCCATGAATGCCTTCCAACGAAGGGGACGGGGGCAAGAAAATCTGTGAAGGCCATGGGTCCTGATCTGGCACGGATCTCAGAGACCCCTTTGAGAAGCTACTGAAAGCTACCAGCTCTTTCTCTCTGTGCATGCTGACACACACCCACAGTTTTCCAGCCATTTGGGGTGGCAGTAGGGTCAGAAGGCTTGTGCTTCGGCCCTACAGGAGAATCTTGCTGTCACTGCAATGATCCTGGCAACAGTTTTCCTCGGTGGATTAGGTTGGAGAGAAGCTCTGTGGGCAGTGTTTCTGCTCCCCTTACCCTGTGACCATGACCGTAGCAGATGTCGCAGTGAGCAGGGGCCTGATGGAGGTCGTGGGGAGCAGGGGAGGAAAGGGACATCAGAGGGTCTCTCACAGGGAACTCGAGACATTTGGGAGCAGCTGAGTTGTGGAGAGGCCAGCTCCAGTGTGTGTCATTGTGGCCCAAGACTGTGAGCTGGGTCTCTGAGTGGGGAGCCTCCCGAATTTCCTCACTGGGTGCGGTGAGCGGCATGAGTGTGCGTTATGGAGCCGGGGTTTGAACTTCAGCTTTGATGTATTCCAGCTGTGGACTGTTGGGCAAGTGATAGACTCTCTCTGAGCCTCAGTTTCCTCTACTGCAAACCGACTGATAAATCTCTCACAGGTTCGGGGAGAGTCAGGATTGATTAAACGAGGCAATGCGTGTGGCTTTCACGAAGGGTCAGCTCTTTCCCCTTAGAATTTCCAAAAGGAACACGGACTGTCTATGAAAATCAGAAAATGTGCCCCTTTGTTGGGGAAAGGGTAGAGAACAAGAAGCAGGGGCTGAGAACTGAAATAATAGCTATACCCTTTTTATCTCATTAAATACCTTTGCATTTTATTTTCTATTTTACTCCACAGGGCTTTTCCTGCAGGAAGTAGATTAAATTCCAGGTTTTCTGATTAATATGCTTTAAAAACAATAGCGTCTCCTTCCCTTTCGGCAAACTGTACTCAGAAGCCTACCTTAGCCTGTATTAAGCTTCGGAGTGACTCATCTCTGGAAGAATTTTATTTTCCAATGCTGACTTGTGTATGTGTGGTGTGGCTGCAATGACAAATTGTTATCAAGACCTCTACATCATTTGATTGCTTGTTGGAAGTCTGGAGCCAAAACCCAGCAGAAATATCATAGGTCTAGAGAAAAGCAGTGGAAATTATCCGAGGCCCACAGGGGGTCTAGGGAAAGTACCAGTCAGAAAGAATTAGATCCTAAAGTTTGCAGGCAAGGAGAGTTGATGCAGTCTGTTTGAAGTTCACAAAAAGATAATGGTCCCCCCAAAATCCTTTTTTTTTTTTTGCAAGCCCCAGTGAATTTTTAGGGTTAGCAATGAAATTATAAGTCAATAATGGATAAAAGAGAAAATATGAGAGATAGCCTTCAGGCAATGAGCTTAGTCAATTCCGAGGAGAGGATTCAGGGCTTTGGAGTGTTTCTTACCCCAGATGTGCGCCAGACAGGTGGTCGGGAAGGCGGCTTGCATTTCACAGGCCAGTACACAGACATCCGGGGGAAAGTGGCCAAGTCTCTCAGATGCTTTGGAGAGTTCGGGGCATCACAGGGGGGAAGGAGCCACATAGCCAGATGGGCCAGGTGGCCTCTCCTGCCCCATGTAGCTAAAATATAATAACCAACTCTTACCACTTAGTGAGAAATCCTGTGTGCTGGGCTCTGTGCTCCGGATAAATCTCTTCATCTCTGGAAGGGCCCTAAGAATCAGCTACTGTTATTGCTCCCAATTTAAGATAAGGAGTCGGGTAACTTGGCCTCAAGTCATACAGCTGGGAAGTGGTAGAGCTGAGTTCTAGACTATGGTTGGTGTCCGTCTGTCTGGACAAGATCTCTTGCCTAGACCCTGGTTAGAGATGAGATCTTCCATCCATATAGCTGCAGGGCATGGTCTTTCCTGTAGGAATAGGAGGCTCTTAGACCAGGGGACTGTCTGCTGGGTGGAGTGTCACGGACTCCATGTCCCTCTGAAATGTAAAGAAAAGAAGTCACAGGGTGTATGATCACTACTCATTGGAAAGAGGCCTGGATGCCCTCCCATGAACTCAAATCACACAGCTAGCCTTATGATGACATCTCCATGGGCTCATCTTTAACTTAGACTCTTATTCGGATATCCACCATCCAAGGAGGTATGGGTCACATGGCATTGCAGTGGACAGCGGGGATTCATTCGGAGTACCTTCCTGGTCTAGTCTAGATTTGGTTGTCCTTACCTACCACTTTTCAGCACCTGTCCCCAGCACATCCTTGAATTTTTATCCCCATTTTATGGGTGACAAACAAGCCCAGAGATGGCAAACTAACTTCCCAGCCAGGATCTGGAACCAGGTCTGTCTGACTCTTGACACACACGGGAGGCCGTTCAGCTGTATGAAGGATGGGCGCCTGCCTCCAGGGCTCAGGAATCTTTCTTGCTATGGTTTTTAGGGTGATTTGGGGGCGCCACTGGGCTCAGCCCTGATGGGATTTGACCTCTTCCGGGGTCGAAAGCCAGAAGACAAAGCTTGTTAGGCCTGCCCTGCTTATCTCAGCCCATCCCCGGAGAGGAAAGAAGACAATGGCTCCCCCCTACCCCGGCGAGGGGCCTTACAATTAACATGCATGTTTGCTCCCATTTCTGGACCTGTTCAACCCTGGAGTTTAAACCCAAGAACTTTAGAACTCTAGAATCCCCCTCGGAATAGAGCTGCAAAAATGTTTGCATAGACCAGAGGTCGAAGATTGGCAGCTTGGGTACATCCTGCTCACAGCAAGAGTTTTGTTTGGCAGGTAGAAGCTCAGTCTGAAGAGTGTTTTGATTTCCTTTCAATTGCTTGGCGACATTTAAATATCATATTGTTTTGCATAAAATACAAATCTCTGGCTTTTCTTGAAAACCAGACATTCTTCTAACACGAAGTTCACATTCTTGCAAGGAGAGGAGGAGCATAAGCTTTTATTATTAGAGGAAACTTAAGCCTCCCTGATCCCACCATTTTCTGCTGTTGACACCCTTTCTGTTTGATTGATGTACATTATATGCCTTGTTCTATCTTGTAGAGAGAAAGAGAAAGAGAGACAGAGACAGAGACAAAGACAGAGAAGGGGAGAGAGAGAGCGAGCGAGCTCGTCTGGTTGTATTGAGAAACAATGTGAAGTGTTAGGGCCAATTTTGGATGGTCCAGCCACTGGGCTCAGCATCCGATTAATTCAAGCAACCAAATCCTCACAGCCCCCAGGAGGACCAAACAAGGCCTTTGACAGGATGATAAGAGCCACCCTTCAAAATCTCAAAGCTCCAGAATGTCAGAGTCTCTTGCAGGCCTAGGACACAGCCCTCCCTCTTGCTGTAATCCACACAGAGTATTATTGAAAAGAGAGGGACTGAATTTCACAGAACCTTCTTATAGATTTAAAAAAGATATATGATCCTAAGCAC